GGAAGGAAGGTTGGGCAATCCTACTTCCGTAGTGATACTGCCTTGGAAACCCAAGGAGGGGTCGCTATGAGTCGGGTTTGACTCGACGGCACATAACATCACACACATAATACACATCTGTAAATGGCCAAAGAAGCTCTGGTGGTGCGGTGGTTAAAGCACTGGGCTTCTAACCAAAAGGTTGGAGGTTGGAAACACCATGAGGCAGTTCTACTCTCTCCCACAGGGTCATTATCAACCAGAATCAACTTGATGGCAGTAGGTAGTAGTTGGAGCACCCCCTGGTGTTCCTTACTGGTGTCAACATGAGGCCATTCAAAAGTCCCACCAGTTCAGGAAGGCGACCAAAGCATTCAGAGCTTATTACTTTCGTTCTGTTTTGCTTCAAGGCCTACCAAAGGGAGCTGTGGGTTGGTCCCTCTGCATAACTGTCCTCACTGTGCAGCAGGGCTTCCAGTCCTGACTAGCAGAAAGTAACATTTCCCATGTGCAGGGGAGGCAAGGGGCTGGGATCCTGGGTGAGGCACCCAGTCAGAGAGGTGAGCCCGGAGGATGGAGGACACTGCTGCCTGGGATCTCAGAACAGAGAAGAGGGTGAAGGAAGTGAGGGTTAAGGGAGGGGTAGAGAGAAAGGAGGAGACAGTCAGGACACTGGGTCCTGGGAGCCATGTAACCAAGCCACTCCGCTAGGGAGCAGGTGAGGAAGGGCTCTGGGGAAGAAAATGCTACACCCTGCACTCATCTAGCAGTGACAGCAGCGGCTGCCACGTACCGAGCTCGTCCTGCCAGGGCTGGGCATGTGCTTCACATACATGCAGTCCTCACACCCAGTCCACGAGGGAGGGCTCTTATTATTCCACTTCATAGGTGAGGAAACTGAGGTTCAAAGCAGTTAAGCACAGTGCGCAGGGTGACAGCTAGTTGGCAGCAGACCTAGGTTTCACCCCCATGTCTGCCCTTTCCATGTCCCCCAGCCTCACCCAAGGCTGTCTGCCCAGGAACTCCTGAGTGCTGTGGGCAGCTGACCCAGGGACCTCATTTCGCTAGAAGTAAAAAGGCCGTGGATTTGAAAGGCTTTTACACAAGGTGCCAGAAGGAAGCACTGACTGTTCCCCCTGGTTCCTCAGAGACGAGGGAATGAGGAGATGGAGGAAAAAAGACCATTAACTTATTTTTTATGCTTTAAATATTTTACTTGTTCAAGCTGCCTTTTAGTTTCATTTCAAAAAGGAGAATTTTTTTTATAAAGAAAAAGGTTGTTTAATGTAGTAAATCTCAAGTATATAATTTTTCTTTATATGAATTTATTTTTAAAAAGAATACTTACATTCTAATGATTAATGCCATGAGTTTCCTGATTAATTAATCACTCTGATATGATTGATTTAGGATATTAGACTCAGAAAGATCAGTAAACAGACAATAAAGGCAAGATCTCAGCGGATCTTCAAAGGCAGGGAGCAGGGATTTTTCTAATAAAAACATTTACTACTATTTTTACTAGCATCTTTAGGATTGATTAATTGCTGCTTTAATGGTCTGGTCACTAGGTGGGTAGTGATTGGTATCAAATTATTTGAACAAAATTCTACTTCCCAAATTAAAGTGATGATGAGAGAGAGAGAAAAACTGCACACTGAATTATAGACAGTGATTATCTCCAGGGGTACAATCATGGAGGATTTTACTTTCTAAAACCTATATATTTCAGTCATGTTTGACGTTTTTACAACAAGCTTATATTACTATATACATGAAAAATAAAGTTCAACTGATTCTAAATCAAAAATGGATTGGGGCTGGCCCCTCTTTCCTGTAAACTTGGGGTCTCTTACCTAAGAAATGGGAGGAGGAAGGGAAGGAAGGTTCTAGGGATTTGGTAAGTTTCCGATTGTGTTCCTAGGTTCTGGGGCTCCTAGGACTCTGCCCAGTCCAGATTTCATTTTGAACAAAGGGTGTCAAGTGTCAAATATTCCAGCCCCAGGGTTCCTCTAGAGTTCGGCCTGAATCGAGGAGGAGGAACACCTGTTTCAAGGGGATCTGAACTGCTGGGCAGTGAATTTTTCTTGAGCATTTGGGGGTCCACAGCCAGACCAGGCCCCATGACAGCCCTTTCTGGAGGTTCTGCAGCCCCTCCCTGCCCAGCCCCTTCTTGTCCCCACCCCATCCCAACCCTTTGCCCCGCCACACACATACACACACACTCGAGAGGACAAAACCAGCTCTGAGGAGGAGGCTTTCACAGAAACAAGTCTTGCATAACAAGTCCTGATCCTTAGGGATCTATAATTGATGAGGGCGCCAGGCCGAGAACCTTGGGCTGGGCCTGCCAAGTGCGGGGGCAGCTGGAGGACTCACAGAAGGTGGAAAACAGGACCTGCCTTGGACCTTGAATTTCTACCAGGAGTCTGAGCCTCTCAAGACTGAAGTCTCAAGTCTGGGGCCAGGTGGGGGACCCATGCCCTGGGGTGTTCCTCAAAGTGTGGGCCAGGAACACCCTGGTTGAGGTTCACGTCAATGAACCTGGGGTGGGGTGGCTGGAGGATTTCTAAACATGCAGATTCCCAGGCACCCCAAAGCTAAGATCAAAGACTGGGGAATCTTGAAATGTCCACTCTGAACCCAGCTCTGTGCTAGACCCTCTACACACAGGCTTCAGAGTCACCGGTGGGTTTAAATCATGACTAACTGTGCAACCTTGAATAAGTTGCTTAACTTCTCTGTGCGTCAGTTTTCTCCTTTATAAAATAGGGCTAATACTGTTGTTGTTATGTGTCTTTGAGTCATCTCTGACTCACAGCAACCCCTCTTTGGGTCTCTGAGGCAGTATCACTACAGAAGTAGATTGCTCAATCTTCCTTCTGAGGAGTGGCTGGTGGGTTTGAAGCACCAGCCTTCTGGTTAGCAGTCAAGTGCCTTAGGCACTATGCCACCAGAGCTCCTTAGGGCTAATACTGTTGTTATGTGCCGTCAGTCAGACCCGACTCCTAGCGACCCCTCCTTGGGTTTCTGAGGTGATATCACTACAGAAGTAGATTGTCCAACCTTCCTTCCAAGGACTGGCTGGTCGGTTTGAACCGCCAGCCTTCTGGTTAGTAGTCAAGTGCCTTAAGCACTACGCTACCAGGGCTAATATTTGTTTGTTGGTGTTGTTATGTGCCGTGAAGTCTAATACTAGTAGGTACCTAATAGGGTGAAATGAGTTAAATGAGTAAAGCACTCAGAAAAGTCCCTGACACATAGGAAGTAATACATACATGTGAAATGATAAGCGTCATTTACTATCTGTGAGTTCACACCTCTAAGCCTCAGCTCCCTCACTGTCTGAAACGGAAATGTGACCAACCACTAAAGACTGTGGTGAGAATGAAAGAAGACTGTTAGCAAAGGCTCAGTGTATGGTAGCAGTTCCACTTATCTTTATTTATTTCTAAAAATCTGCAACATTCTTTCACCTGATAAACTGTCCTTACATATACGAGAACTTTCTTATTTGTGACCACTGTTAGATCACCGAAGGAGCTCTGGTAGTGCAATGGTTAAAGCATTTGGCTGCTAATCCAAAGGTCAGCAGTTCAAACCCCCTAACCACTGCACAGGAGAAAGATGAGGCAGTCTGCTTCTCTAAAGATTTACAGCCTTGGAAGCCCTATGGGGCAGTTCTACTCTGCCCCATAGAGTCGCTGTAAGTTGGAATCAATTCAATGGCAGTGGTGGTGGCTTAGACCATCAGATTATCCCCTAAGAAACAGGTAACTGAAGCAAGACAGATGGACAAACTCCTTCTCCTCTGTCTATCCCTGAACCCCTTGCTGAGCTGACCATTTTCTCCTTTGTGTCCTACCCCTGGGCTTCTACCTGTCACCCACTGAGGTGTGATTCTTTGTGACCCCATTAGTGTCCCCACTCCTTGGGAAGCCTTCAAGGGGATCCACCTGTTTCAGTGGGGCATCCCAGCACCCAGCACAGAGCCTGGCACAGAGTGAGGTGACCACAGGCCTGGGCCAGAATACTGCTTTCACCGCCTACTGGTTATAAGACCTCTCCAAGCCTTGAGTTTCCTGGTCTATAAAATGGAGCTGTAATTACCTACCTCCAGGACTGTTGTGAGGCTTAGATGGGAAAATGCATGTCCCTGGTATAGTGCCTGCCACACACAGCAGCAACAATAAGCAGGCATTGTGGTGACAGGGCTTTGACCAGTATTTATTGAATGAATGACAAATGGGGAGTATGAGTGCATACGCTCAGAGGTACAGGACTTGCCGTAGTCAGAGGTAGCAGCATTGGGACTGAACCTCAATCTACCTGATGCCTGGTCAAGCGCTCTTTCCACTCCCTGCTCCAAAACTTGCAAAAAGACTTGGTCCTTCTTCAGTTCTACAGGCAGGAGTCTGGCTCCCAACCATCTCACCAACCCCTTCTTCAAGGGACCAAAGCCCCAGAGGGCTGCTCCTCAGGAGAAGCTCTGAGCACATTAAACGGACAAAAGGGGCTGGGTAAACTCCCAGGTAATGGCCCAGCCCTGCCCGGCCCAGGCTGAAGCTGGGTTCCCAGGACACACCCTGCTCTTCCCTATCTCAGCCTCACTGGCACTTTCCCATCATCCCATCCCCTGTGCCTCACCCAGGCAGACAGGGTCACTATGCCCATTGACACAGAGGATCTTGAGGCCCAGAGAGGGACAGTGATTTCTCTAAGGTCACACAGCACATCAGTGATACAGTCATGGCTTGAACCCTATTCTAGAACCCTATACTGATGAAACACAGATGAGTGTAGTAGAAAAGAACACTAGGAGTAAAGAAATCTGGGTTCTGCTCCTAGCTTTGGCAGCAACACACTGCGAGCCTGGGCCAGTTGCTTTACCTGTTTCCACCCTGTAACAATGAAGGATTTGGACTGACATGAAAGCCCTTCTGGCTATGGAAGCTTGTGATCCCCTCTCTATCCTGACTAAGTCTTTCCAAGGAGCAAGCCCCATACAAGGTATTTCTCACTACTCCTTCACCAAATCCTCTCCCCAGCCTCCGTGGCAGGTACATCTGATCCTCTTGTAACTTATAAGAAAAGGGAGGTTCAGGGAACCCAAGCAGCTTACCGGAGGTCATACAGAATATTGGAGCAGAGCCTCTCAGGGCTCCCAGTCCACTTGGCTTTGCTCAGCTCTACCTGGCTGGAGATTTAAAGCTCTGTGTCCTCCCAGACTCTCGAGAGTTCAAGTTCAAGGGAATTTGAATGAACAGAAGAGGGGTATGGCCCTCTTGGGTCCCTTTTAAGGACCCAACCCAGGCCCCTCTATTGGCAGGGCCCTACGAACTAAGGGGCAAGGGAACAGAACTGGACCCAAACCCTCAGGCCTGTGAAAAGAGCTAGGTTTCCACTCATGGCCCACCCTGGCCGCTGGGGCTAGGAATACAACTCTATGGACTTATGGGGAATTTCCTCCTCCCCTTTTTAAGATAAGAAATCAGAGGCTCAGAGAGGGAGTATGATTTGCCCAAGATCACACAGCTAGGAATGGGCAAGGATACAAACCCAGGAATGGCCAACTCTAAAGCCTGAGCTCTGACACCAACCATACAAGATGCAAAGACAAGTGGACACTAGTGAGTCCTGCCACTGGGACATCTGACCCTGAGGCCCGAGCAAGTGGGACTTGACTCACCTTATACTTAAGGCCAGACTTGAAGTAGCCAAGGAAGGTGCCTGACTCAAAGCCTTGGACCTCTCGGTGTTGCACAGCCCGGCCATTCAGGTAGTCATCCAGCTGCACTGTGAAGATGGCAGCCGCCCCACTCTCATCCTGGCTGCACTCATTGCCTAGGAGACATCAGAGCAGCGTGAGCCTGGCTTCTCAAAAGTATGGAACGATGGGAGCCTGACTTCCCGAAAGTCACGCAGAGCCCCGTGCTGCCCTGGCCTGGCTGTGGAAGCTGGGCACCCTGGCTTCTGTGAGCCTCAGTTAATCCCTCTCGATCATGGAGGAGGTGGGGGAGCTGGACCGCACAGTCTTTAAGGGTCCTCCCATTTCTGACATGCATTCTCCTACACTCACCTCTCTTACCAGACTCTTACCCTCAAAGGCATCAAGTCAGGACTGGGAGTATCAGGTCATCACAGATTAGGAAACTAAGGCTGAGTGAGGGGGCAGGATTTGCAGGCTCACACAGCAGAGCTGTGACAGGAACTCTAGGCTCTCACCTCTGAATGGTAAAATCAGGAGTGGCTGGAGCTGATCTAGGGAAGCTATGGAGGTGCTCCAATGTCCCTGTGTCACCCACAGTGCTGAGTGCTATAACAACTCATTAAACCTCATAATGCTCCTGTGTGGTAGGTACGGCACCATCATCATCTCCACTTTACAGAGACAGTGAGGGACTTGCCACAGGGTTGACAATGGTAAGGGGCAGAGCTGGGGTTTGAACTCCAGGCTGGCTCTAGAGCCTGGAAGCATAACCACTAACCAAGGGCCTTGCATGTACTTGGTGCCCAGTAATCAGCTAGCCACCTTGGGTCCCTCCTGGGGATCACGCCTCCAAGGTCTAAGCTTTACAGGGTCAGGACTGAGGGATGGGGCAGGATTGGGTGGGGACCAGAGCAGGGGCCAGCCTCACCCAGCCAGTAGTGGAGGTCATACTGCAGATTCCCATTTCTCAGCTGCACGGTCTTCAGGATGACATAGGCATCGCCAGTGAAGAAGTCTCCGTAAAGGTTGGGGGGCACGGGTACCAGGTCGAACTTCTCCACACGCCAGATCTGCAGGCCTGGCTGTTTGCCTGCCTTGAGGAACTCAGGGTGTTCCACCACCATACTGCTGGGCTGGGGACAAAACAGGGCAAGCCCTGAGCAGAGAGATTGGTTGACAGATCCCGGGGCACGAGGGAGGGTGGTTTCCAGCACCAAGAGCAGCTCACTTGAGCCTCTGGCTCTCCTTACCCCCGAGGTGAGCCACCTCTTTCTAAGTTCCCCCATCTCAATGAGTTAGCAAACAGGTCAGAGTTGATGGTCCAAACCCTGTAGCTTGGCCAGCATCTGGCTCTCCTACTTCAACTTCCCATCAGTTTGTTTGTTTTTTTCCCAGTGATGTGGAGACAGAGCGCCTCTTTCTCCCTTTACTTCTTAGAGCCAACTGGATATGACAACTGAGGCACAGAGAGATGAAGTAACCCTGCCAGGAAACTTCAGGTAGGAAAGAGTGTAGCAGGAATTGTCCCAGGCTCTAAGATCACCCACTGGGGGACCAGGAGGAGAGCCCTTGGATGGTAATGGTAAATTGGGAGGCCCTCACGAGCTGTGCCAGCCTGTTCCAGCATCTTCAGTGGATCTTAGAACTGGAAATGCCCTCAGAGAGCTCATAATCCAACCCCACTACTGCAGATGGGGAAACTGAGGCCCAGAGAGGGGAAGGGACTGGTTCAAGGTCACACAGCCTGTTTGCTTTGCTCTTTGGGAATGGGAAGACTTCCCACGCTTCTTTCATCCTACCAACCCACTCTCAAGAAGGGCTTAGGTGGGTGAGCCCAAGTGGCCTCCTGCGCTGTCTGCCGCCTCCCTCCTGCCCCCAACACCCTACCCCCGATCCCATTTCTTGGCAAAGGTGGAGAGGTCACAGCGGGGTCTGCAGGAGCCTGTTGGAGAAGAAGTGGTCAAGGATTGAGGGAAAGGTTGTCAGACATGCACTGGGACTAGAGACGCAGCCTACGCAGGAAGGTTAGCCTGGAGCCGAGGGCGGAAATGAGCAGGCGCAGGTCACCTGGGGCCGGAGGGGAGCTCTGGCAGGAGTAAAACAGATGGGAGAAGTCAAGGAAGCAAGACCGGAGAAGGCCAGGAACGTGAAATCCAAAGGGAAATTGGAGAGAGGAGGAGAAACCAGATGAGAGAATGAAGAATGCTAATGATGGTGACCAGGCCGAGGTGGTACCACAAGAGGAAGAGGGAGGAAATACTGGAGAGGGAGAAAAAAATCAGATGAGGTGGGATCTGCAACAGAAAGAGAAGCCAGCAGCGGGAAGGAGAGTAATGAGGAGACAGGAGAAATACTGGAGAAGAGAAGAAATCTGGCAGAAAGGCGAAATTTGACAAGAAAAGAAATAGGGCGGCAGGGAAGGAGAAATCAGATGGCGGCGAGGGAAAAGCAAACCGACCCAGGTGAGGTTAGCCTCTGCGGAGGGAAACAGCCAGGGCCCCGAGGCTCCCACCCGCATCCGGAGGAGCCCGGAAAACAGCAGAAAATACTTACAAAGCAACAAAACAGTTTTTCCATTCTAGACCTGAATTACTCCCCTTTTCCTAGCGCTGTATCTGCAACTTAGAATAGAGAGTTACTCCGGGAGCCCCCGGGCCCCCCGGGCACTCACCCGCGCCTGGGGCGCACGCGCCTGGACCGCTCCCCGCGCCGCGGTTGCCCCGCAAGCAGGCGGCGACAGTGTGCACAGCACCTGGACCAGCGCGCAGAGCAGCGCGGACGCGGAGCAGGGCCGAGCCATGGCGGCGCCTGTGGCAAAGGACCCAGTCGGCAGCGGCGGCCTCCTGGTCGCCAGCCTTATGTAGCCTCCCGCCCATCCCGCCTAAACCGGGGGACCGCCCTGCAGCGAGGGCGCGGAGCAGGAGTGGGCCCCGCGGGCCGGCGAGGGGCGGAGATCTAGCTCGGATCTTGGAGACATCTGTTCCCACCGGGACCGACCCAACTGGGCGCGGCCGCCCCTGCACCCCAGCTCTGGGCGGAGACCCAGCACAGGGCCTAGCATACAACAGGTGCTAACTCTATGCGCTGGGCGCGTGCACGAAAGTCAGGGCGCCCAGATCAGCCGCCTCCTGCAGTGACTCATGCAAAGTCCCCTCCCCTCTCCATGCCTAATCTCTCCAGCAAGAAAACACACGATATAACTTTCATGGATGGCTTTCCACTAGGGGAGGCATCCTAAAACCTTTACCGAGTAGGTCCTATGGACAGCCCCATTTTGCAGCCTCAGAACTGTTAAGGAGCCTGCACACAACTAGTGAATGATACGGTCAATATTTGAACCCAGGCAGTCTGTGTCTGGGCAGAAGTCCACCTAAGGTAGCTCCACCTGGCCCCACCTGACTGGTGAAGCAGAGAAAGGCAGGGCAGAACCCCCAACCTGTGGGATGGCTGATTCTTTCCACTTTACTAAACACGGCCTTTCTTTTTAAGAAGTGCTTCATTTTTCAAAAACTTTTTTTTTAATCAAAAGTCACATATTTGTACCAAGTTGTTCCATCTCAACCTCACTTATTCTCCCGAGAGTCAACTCCTTCTAACTATCTCCTTTAGCTAATGATTTACCTTCTTGTCTCTAAATAACATGTTTGTGTTGCTTCTTATAGGTGTTTTTGTTTTGTTTTTGTTAGATGCCATCAAGTCAGTTCCAACTCACAGTGACCCAACGTAGCCAAATGAAATACTACCCGCTCCTGTGTGACTCACAGTGACCCCTCCTTGGGTTGCCAAGACAGTATCACTATGGAAGTAGATTGCCCAACCTTCCTTCCAAGGACTGGCTGCTGGGTTTGAACTGCCAGCCTTCTGGTTAGCAGTCAAGTGCCTTAGGCACTACGCTACCAGAGCATCAATAGGCACTATCTATTAACTCCCCGGGGCAAGAGGAGGATTTAACTCTGTTCCCCACTCCACACTCCTTGCGCAGCCCTTCAACCTCCCGGTAGAGTCACATACCATTTGGGTTAGAAGTCCTATTCAGACACACCTAGGCCAGCTTTCCAACTCCCTCCTCCACCAACTCCTCCTTCCTCCCTCCCACCACTCTGCCAGCCCCAATTTCTCTATTTTTAGGAACTTGTTGCATCCTAGATCCTCTCCCTCCCTCAGTAGCCTGGTGCAGTGACAGGAAAGGGAATCCAGGAGTTGGAGACTTGAGTTTGACTGCCACCTCCACATCTTCTTATCTCTGTGACTATATGTGCAATTGACTTCTTTTAACCCTTTAGCGTCCTCATCTGCTAAGCAAGTACATATATAGTTGATGAGGATTAAATGAGTCGTGGTTGCAAATGCCCTGGCCCTCCCCGAGGCTGATGGGAGTTATCCTTCTCCTCCTCAAACTCTTCAGTCCCCTATGCTGGCTCCTCTTGGAGCCCAGCTTCTATCTAATCAGGCTGCAATTTCTTCTCTACTACCCACTACTTCCTCCCACTTACTGGAGAATGTGGGTCAGATATAGGTCTTAGGGAGTACAGGGAAAGGGAGAAGACAATTCAGACTGTAGCTTTATAAAAGGTCTTCACGGAGAAAGAGACATGGACCTTAAAAGGACAGAGAGGGTTCTGACACATGGATACTGAGAAGAAAAGGGGAGGGAAAGCATGGGCTAGGGGCAAACAAGTGCAGTGCAGCCACATTCAGGAAATAAAGAGCAGGCTAGTCTAAAATGCAGGGGGCCAGGGCAGATGAGGCTGGAGGGGTGGCAGGGTCACAGGGGTCTTCAGGGCCACACTGAAGAGTGTGAGCTTACCCTCGCGTCCATGGAGAGCCAGAGGTGGCAGTCTGAGTTCTCAGGGCTCAATGTCCTGGCATGTCCCTTCCTGAGTCCATGAGCCTGCAGTGGGTCAGCGTGGGCCTAAATTCAAAGAGCTTCCTCCTGCCCCTAGCCATTTGGGGGATTATAAACACCCCACAGCTCTTCTGTGCTCCTGAGGGAAGCACGAGCTGGTTTCACCTCTCTGAATGCAAAGTTGTCTCTGTCTACTCAGTGTCAGTTTGTATTGTTGCTGGTTTTTGGGGTTTTGTTTTTTTTTTAAAATAAAACACAATGCAACAACAGTTCCACTGCTAAGCAATTTGCTGGAAAGGGATGCAGGGGGAAATTTTCACTTTTTTAATATTGCTGGGTTGCCTGGGGCTAGGGTAAACACCCAGGTCCCTGCACCCAGAAGAGAGAACTTCTCAGGGGTGATGAAAAGGCTCTAATGTTAGATTATGGCGATGGATGCACAATTGACTAAAGCTGCTAAAAATCATAGAACTACACTTACAATGTGTGAATTTTTATGATATGAAAATTATACTTCAATACAGCTATTAAAATCTTCTTAAAAACTGCTATAGAGTTTGAAACTGCTTGCAAATATGTATTCAATGTGGGTTTGTTTTATTTATTAATAAAACACTAATCTGGACACAAAAAAATAATGCCTGCTCATTAGACAATTTGGAAAACCAAACAAGTAAGTAGAAGAAATGCTTCAATCCTTGCCATCCCAGCCCCTAGGCTAGCAGCCGGTCTAGCCAAGCAGCCCCTTCTTGAGCAGCATGGCCCCAACCTGTCCAGTTGGTGATTAACAGAGGGTTTGGCCTTGGCCCCAGAGGTCACTGACCCCAAGGTTAATGATCACAAAGGCCCTGCTGCTTTCCCTGCCACATAGTTCTGGAGCCTGGGCCTGGTCCCTGCTGTCTGGGAGCCCACAGCCTGGACACTCTCATTGATGGGGCAGTGCTATGTGGAGACTGTAACTGGAGAATCATTCTTACTTTGCTCCCTACTTGGAAGAGGATGTAAGAGTTCAGAGGGGTGGCAGGATTGGGGTGCAACCGTAAGTAGAGGCCTAGGAGGGGGCCCCAGTGCTAGGCCTGGCTCTGCCACTGGTTTCTTGGGTGTCTTTGGACAGTTCACTGACCCTCTCTCGGCCTCAGCATCACATCATATACAGACAGGGAAGCTGAGGCTCAGGGAGGTTAAGCCGCCTGCTCAGAGTCACTCAGTGAGAAGACGCATTGGTGAGATTCAAACTCAAGTTTAGCTAGTTCCCGAGTCCAGACTGTCGGGGGAGATCAAGCAGAGGCTTCTGACACCAGCTGGCTTGGGTGGGAGCAACAGTGGCCTTTCCAGGTAAAGGGTTGCGGTTGCTAAACCAGTGAAGCCCAAGCCAAGCCCGGCAGCCAGGAGTCTCTGGAGCGGGAGTCCCCAGCACACCTGCCAGCCCGAGCAGGAGGTTACACCAGGAAAGCCCTTCAGCTCTCTACATACTTCATGGTAGTGCCTGGCATACAGGCATGTCCTAGAAAGCTTTGCAGGTTGTGGCCAGTGAGTGGAGGATGGAGTATAGCACCTATACGTCATACCGCTCAGCACTCAGGTGTCTTTGGTTTAGGAGGCAGCCCAGATCTGCCAAAATTCCCTATGCAAATGTAATCTAGTCAATTCTGACTCCTAGCGACCCTATAGAATAGAGTAGAACTATCCCATAGGGTTTCCAAGGCTGTGAACCCTTACAGAAGCAGACTGCCTCCCTCATCTTTCCCCCATGGAGCAGCTAGACCTTTTGGTTAGCAGCCAAATGCTTTAACCACAGTGCCAGCAGAGCTCCTAGCACACACACCAAACCAAAACCACACTCACTGTCATCGAGTCGATTCTAACTCAGGGTGACTCCCATTGGGTTTCCAAGGCTGTAAAAATCCTTATGGAAGCAGACTGCTTCATCTTTCTTCTACACAGCAGCTGGTGGGTTTGAAACACTGACCTTTTGGTTAGCAGCAAAATACTTTAACCACTGAGCCACCAGAGCTCCTAGCACACATACAGTAGGCAGTTAACCAGTGCCTGCCATCAGATGGAGCTGTACAGCCTACATCTTCTGGTGAGCCCTTTCCTCGCATTAGTCAGACCCCAAGACCCCTACAGGCCCTGTACTCCATGATCCCAGCTAGTTCCTGTGTATCTCTGGGCCTCCCAGGGAAGCTACCAGAAACCAGAGACATTGGCCTCACCTTCCTGTCCCCAGCCACAATGTACAAAAAGCTTTGGCTAGGCCTGAGAGACACCACCCTGTTCTTTTCACCCCAAACACTGTTGTTCTTGATTTCCCAGGCAGCTGGCCACTCATGGGAAATCTTCTCTCAGAACTTGTTTGCTTTCTGGCTCACAGTTCCTGAGGCCCTCCTGGGAACACCCACCCCTCTGGCCTAGGATTTTGCTAATTAGAACAATGGTCAGTAAACAGAGAAGCCAGTTATGAAACCCATGAAACTGGACAGGGCCAGGGTGAGGTCTGAGGAGCCCTGAGTTTGAGAATCTGGCAGATTCAGCTCCTGTGATCAAGGCCTCAGTTTCCCCATCTATCAAATGAGGAAAATGGCACCTGGCTCATGAAATAGCGAGGAGATCCAGGGCCCCACACAATAGGAGAAGCTCCTAAAAGTTAGCACCCTTCTTTATGAGTGATATCTGGCTTCTTCAACCCAAAGGCCTTTGGCATGTGTGCACCAAGTGAGAAGAGTGTGGTGCAGGGAAAAATTACAAATGTCACTGGGAGATTTCTGTGTTCAGTCTGGGCTGTGTGTCCTGGAGCAAGTTACTCCCCCTCTCTGAGCCTCAGGTTACTTAGCTATAAATAGGGGTAGTGATATCTAGTTGCAGGATTATTGGGGGAGAACTGGAGCTACTTTTTGGGGACTACGCAGCACAGGGTAGGACTTATCAGTGACAATGTTCATTTGTGTATATCC